CACTATGATAGACAATAAAAGATGCTGGAACTCGATGTACAAATGCAATCTGTTGCATCTTTTCGAAGAAACTAGACTTAAAAATGACATTGTAGTTTTGAAGAAAAAAAAAACATTTCGTGATAATGTCTTAATTTAGCAATATTTGAAACCCTGTGTCCAACATCATTATCTATATGAATTTTATCTTATCTTCTATCGTCCTTGGCTATATCAGAAGCATAGCTTTATATATATTCATTTTGTAGACGCCTTGGCCTCATCATTTATAGTTTTCTCTTACGAATAAGCAAGATGCAATCTTGTACAGCAATAGTATATGCTGCTATTGTTTGTTGCTTTCTTTTGCCATTCAGTGAACAACAATATACACCAGATTGGAAATCATTAGATTCACGTCCATTACCTGCATGGTATGATGAAAGTAAAATAGGTATCTTCATTCATTGGGGTGTCTTCAGTGTTCCATCAATTGTGTCCGAATGGTATGTTTTCGAAAACTTGTCTTATATAAAACCAACCTATGTTGAATAGTTACCTTTCATCAATAATAGAACCAGAGTTAGTTTTTTGGTTTTCATCTGTTTAGGATGTGGTGGGATTGGAAAGGAGACAAACCAAATCCCAAACTTGTAGATTTTATGAAAAAAAATTATCCACCTGATTGGACATATGCCGATTTTGCTGAACAATTTCATGCAGAATTTTACGGTAAATGCATAACATTCTTCAATTATTATATATTGAACAATCATTTCGATGATAGATCCTAACGAATGGGCTGATATATTTGCTGCATCTGGTGCAAAGTACATACATATTATTTCTTTCTAATGCGAATTATTCTTGTTTTGTTTTATTTAGATATATTGTCCTCACGAGCAAGGTTAACTTATGCTTTTATATAAAAGACACATAAAATCATTATAGTTATTTTTGTATTGTATAGCATCATGAAGGTTTTACTATGTGGCCATCGAAATATTCATTTAATTGGAATGCAATGGATGTTGGTCCAAAACGAGATTTACTTGGTAGATTATGAATAAGTCTTCAATTTAATAT